AATTTTTGTTTTCGGACTAATATATATACCCTGGCCTCGACATTGATTATTGAGCGTGGTGAGGGGCTTCGATTTGTTTTCCCCTGGGAGGCGAGTGCCACGTGGGCATCTTGGCCTGACCTGGTGCCCCTTTGGTACTGGTTTGTGACAGACTCCCATAATAAAAATTCTTTTGTTTTGTACGAAGACAAATTCCCACCATAAGCAGAGTGCAGGCAAGTTCTGTATAATTTTTCCCATGAACATTGCCGATTACTGTACAGATGGCTGCATACCAAGCCCATGGGATCCATCCATAAACAATCTTGCACTTACTTTGCACTACAGGAGTTTGCAATTACTTCCCCAGCTCTGTGCCCTATTCTCTGGTGTTTTGTTTCTTCCTTACTATGAATGCTGAAGTATCCTGCTGCAAGTACCAGTATCAACTTAGTTGTCCTTATTTATTTACCACTTAGAGTGCTCCTCCACAGCAGATCAGGAATTGGAAAATTCATGAAAGTAGCCTTTTTAATCTGAGTAGTTTACACATTATCACATTTAACACATTTTGTTTCATTAATGAAAATTTTGTTTCTACATTTCTTTTTAAAAATCTTGATAGATATGTGAAAAGAGCAACAAAATGGGTTTATGCAAACGAGTCCTTTACTACTATAGAATATGTTTTGCGCAGTTTGGGTTGAAATCTGCACTGTCACAAAGTTCAAGTTATGTTTAATTTGAATTTATTCCTTTATTAGAGGGATCATGTATCTGTGAGAAAGTTGAGAAGGAAGAGGTAGGAGGACAAATAGAAAACCATGTATGTTATGAATGCTGCTGTTTACATCTGGTTTAAAAAAATCATCTTAGGGTTCAAAGTAAGTAACTCCAAGCAGAAGAAGTGTGACATTAGTAATTCATGATTGCTTTCTCACTGACCAGCTTGCTTTTACAAGCATGGCTGCATGTTTGCATACATAATTGAGATGCACAGTTGAAGGTTTAACTTGTACAACATTTTTAGTAGTGTAAGTACTGAATGCTAATGCTGTCACATGATCATTGTGATTACTCAGCCAACTGATTAATATATTGGTTAGAGTGTGTATCTTCCTTTTCAACCATAAAAGAAACAGAACACATCATAAAAACATGGAAAACGTGATATAATAGGCTTGTTACTAAATGAAGTCCTATGTTCTGTTCTTAATTTGTAAGAAAGACTGTCAATATTTAGAGCAGATTTATGGCAGCTGTACAGCAATTACAGAAACTTTACAGTGTATTCACTCTTCTTATGCCAAGAAGTGCTATGAAATAGGTGATTTGAACAAAATCAGGACTACCAGACACTAACTGCATAAGCACAATGTGCTGTGTTCTTTCTGGTATTTAAATGAGCAAAAGTGTTTCTGTGGCATTCCAAGCCAGGGAAGAAATGCTTTGCTCTAAACCATTCATTAAGGTACAAATTAAGACATTGCTTACTTGCGTAAGCATGGTCTGTTAATATTTCAGTAGCCATTTTAAGAACCACTGCTTATTGATCAGCTTCAACATTGCAAAAAAAAATCCAAAACCTCAAACTCTACTTGGTACATGGCTGGCAGGTCTAGAAGCTGTGCTACCAATTAAACTGCTTTGATGGGAGATTTAACCTGCTCAATGGGAAGTGCTGATGTCTCAGTGCCGTGAAACTATAACCACCCTCTTAAAACATCTGGGAGTTTTCATTTGAAATTGTGTCTGAAGATCTTAGCTTTTGTTTTTCACACTTAGACAAAACTGGCATGATGAAACAACAGACTGGAGGCTTGAGGAAAAGTGAGGGACTGGACAGGAGATGATGGAGGAACTGTTGTCGCTTATACCTGTTTTACTTCCTTGCCCCTCTCACTGGGATCAAACACTAGCTACCAAATGTTAATTGTTTTGGATGCAAAAGTATTTATCTTTGTGCTACCACATACACACATGTAGTCTTTAACTTACTGTCGATGGTCTTGTTGTGGTTGTTCAGGAATATGTTGTATAACTTCATAAACAGTAGTAAGCATATCCTGGCCTGGGATGAAGTCAGAGACAGGAACAGACTGACTTGAAACCTAAAAGTAGCAAAGAGTTTTCCTACTGTAAGTACAAAAGGGCAAAGATTCAACAGAAATTAAACTGTAAATGTAACTTCTCATTCTTTTACCCTTTCCCTATCAACTGTTTGTGTGTGGATTTAACAGTTCATATCTATTAGTTTACATTTCATTTTGAGTAACTTTTAATCACATTTATAGTAAGGCAAGCAATAGTTTTGTATTCATTTAGGATCTTAGAAGATTTAGGATGCAGGTCTTGCATTGAATATAGCAAGTATTTTATATTAGTGTACCAGAGGCCAAGGAAGGAACATGAAATGAAGAAAGAAGCAGGAGAATAGATAGTTAAAAAAAGAGAAAATATTCAGGAGCTAAACTCCCACCAGCATGTCAAAGAGAGGGAACAGCAAGGAATTTCCATAAATGAAGTAATAATGAAATTGTTCAGCATGTTAAGTATAAAAATCTGTGCTTATGTCAACACAGCACCTAAACTCCCCATCCATAACGGGCTCTCAATCTCTCTGCCTATACCCAACCTCTAGTTCTTCATTATCTCCACTTTCTTATTTTTCCCTTTTTCTGCTAACTAACTAAAGTCTTCAAACACAAAGATCAAAGATCTTTTTCCTTGTCCTTTTACACTGCATCAGGGTGATCTCCAACTGCTATATGGCAATGCCAGCAAAGCCATAATTCGGAGAAGTAGCATATGCAGGCGGGTTTTTTTCTGCTAGCGAAATTCCTGTGCTTAAGTTCTCCCCTGCAATACATGATGCTAACAAAATAATTCTTGTGAAATATAGCCGATTTGGGTTGATATACATAGGAGATTTGGGTTGAATATTTTCACAACAAAAACTTTAAATAACCCCTGACGCAGATGAAGTTGTATGTTGTACGATCAGCAATATTAGGGCCAATGGCATCACAACAGTTCATTTACTTGTGTGACACAGGTGGTTCAGTGTTACCCATCTACCCAACACTACTAATGTTCTTTTAATATAGGGTAGCTGGACCAACATCATCGTCTTAGAGCTTGGTTAGTTCCTTACAGCACCATGTTGGTGCAAGTACTGAACTAGTAACGCAGTAAGGAAAGATTAAGTACTGGGTAAATGATAGCTGTGAATTTGGGGGCATATAGACATCTGTAAAAAGCAACAGAATCAAACCGACAGAAGGATTCTAGTGCAGATATTTAGCATGCCTAAAGAAATAGAAACAAAATCAACAGTTTATGATGTAAAATCACATACCCTAGGACCACTGGCAAGATCAGGAATAGCAACAAATTCATATATCCCAAAGTCATCAAAAGCACTTTCATGTCCTACAGTTAAAACAATCAAACATGAAAAAGGTATTGAGATGTAATATGAACTTGGAAAACAATGACTGACAAAGTAATTTGGCCTAGTTTTTAAAATATCTGAATATTGGTTGTTTGATCTGCTTTAAGCTACTTCGCTGCCAGGCTCCTAATGTGGTGTAGAGCAAGGCAGGGTAGCTGCAGAGCTGGTGTGCACAGTGCTTGGCTGTCTCCAAGTGAGGAGCCCTTTGCTGACCTCAGTAACAGCTTTGTCAGAGCCATTGGGACTGTCCTTGCTGGGAGGCTAAAGAGATTGATTTCCAACAGAAAAGAGGCTCAATCCATGAACTCAGCATGTCTACACTGTAGTAGGACTTGAATACCACTTGAATCTTTTGAATGCTGAGAATAAAAAAGGGAACATTATACTAATAGGTGCCATATTACTAGACCAGTTGACAGATTGCATCTGGGAGTTCAGATACAACCTGTAGTTAGGGTGGGAGTCTCCTTCTCTACCCCCTCATTGTCCAGGAGATCTGAGACTCTTTGTTGGCTCTTGGGCATCACTCCACAGCAAAGGCTGCAGCACTGAAGACAGTGCTGAGATTTTTTTTTCTCTGATACCACTTACTGGGGTGAAGGACCCTCTGTGCTGAAGTGGATTTCTTACCTTCTTCCTTACTGGGAAAGACTGTGGACTGAAAAGAGCCAGTGACAAAAGCACACTGTGAGCTAATGACACAGAGCAAGGTAGCACAGAATGTGGTAGAGACTGAAAAATATATACTGCAATGTCATATTAACACCTCATGATTTTGGTACTGATTGGTGCCAGTGATCCTCCCATGGCTTACCATCTCTCACTGCTATCCCATAATAACACTGATTTATTTCATACTGGTGATAACACCAGAGTGCAGGTGATTCTAACCAGGATTAGCAGCTAGAACTCAAGCCAATAGGCACATATTGCTGGTAAACTCTGGGCATGAGCTAAACCCATGCTGACCTGCTGCTGTTTTTGTTTTATCTTAAGTAAGCTAACATAAAGGCAGGTGTGCAACCCAGGCTAAAAAAAAACCCTTCCCTTCCTTTCCTTCTTCTTTTTTGTACGTGGAGATGGCAATATTTTTGCAGGAGTGGATTTTGACCTTTTGCTCACATTTCTTTCATTAGCATTACCTGAAAAACTCTGTGCCTTCCTGTAATTAGCTTCTGGCCTAGAAAACAAACGTTTTTTTCAATTTGATGTCATAAACCAAGAAAAGAAAAATAATATAATAAAATACAATTCTCTTGACGGAAAGGACTTGAAGACCTAAGAATGGTTTAGTTTTGTACCTGCTTTGCAGCTTCTGTTGTATCACTGAAAAGAAAAGAAGAAAAATCATTCTTTTTGCTCTGATGGTCCAAAAAAGAGCTGTATTATGATTAATTTCTACATACCTTTATGTGGCTGATACCTTTTCCATATGAATAAAAGGGCCAAAGCTAGGATCAAAAATAATGAAATTCCTGTGATTACTGCAAGAGATGGCAAAGATTTTCCTTTCTGGGCCAGCTTTTCCAATCCTGTGGAAAAAAAAGATGAGCACTGTATTTAGTCTCTTGTTCGGTATAATGGGCTATTATGATACTGAAAAATTTCATCTTTTGAAAGTCATCTGAAGCTAGTAAATCTGCATAGAGATACAAAACAGATACAAAATTTGGGTTCTTGTGAATCAGTAATATTATTTTTTTTTTTCCCCACAAATCTGAACTTGAAAATTAATGATATAGATATCAGAAAGGAGTCCAGAACAAACTGGTATCTAGAGCTCATTGAAGGTCAGAAATGTAATCCATGTAGTACATAATCACAAAAGGTAGATTAATATATTCTAATTTTAGGCATAGAGGCATGGAATTACCAAGAGATTAGGTGACAATCAAGTTTGTCCTAGATAGGAGGGAAATCCTCTTAGCTGTAGGAGCTATAGAGTAGGAGGGGATAACTGAACTATTGTTTTTTTTCTAAAGATTTTCAGATCATTGATAGTCTTTATCAAATCCCATCACAAGCCAATAAGTTATGTTTGTTTGCACTCATGTCTAAATATACCCAAAGTTTGCTCAGATATTTTGCTGAGATATGCATTAGCAGCAGTTTTTCAGCAGGGTTTACTGAAAAAACACAAATACAACATGTATATAATTATATACACAAAACCATGTTGAAAATATTTGCATAGAATTTGCAAAGTCAGGAATGTGAAAGTTAGAAAAAGCCAGACATAGTTGCTTGTGCACCCTGAATTTCCTCCTTTTGCTCTGAACTGTGCAGAATTAATATAATTAAAGTCTGTGTCACAATCCATACAGGTAAATTAATGCTGCGTATTTGTCAGTGCCAGATTTATGAGTCCAATTCCTGTGTATTATTTAGCTGGATGTGTTTCCATCTGTGAACTCCTGTGCAGACAGACACTGTTACCTACATCTGCTTACACCTCCATGTAATTCACTGGCATTGTGCTGGCTGTGTGTGCAGCCGTTATCACAAAGATTAAATATGTGGATTTCAAGTCAGATAAATACTGAAGATATGGGACAATGAATCACTGCAATTCCACCAAATTTCTTTCATACTCCTTCAATGTACTGCTCTCCTCAGGAAAAAAAAAAAAAAAAGCCCCAAGTGCTTGAGAATCAACTAAGTCCTAAAAAATGTTCTTTAAACTTCATAGTTTCAAATTTAGAGACAGGCATACTGGTGCAGAAAACAAAAATGTGCTTTCTGTATCCATTTAACACATTCAAGCTGACTCAACTTGAGAACTGAGCAATGACATGTGTACATAACGAGATACTTCTTGTTTTAAAATCTAACCAGTCCTGGCTAACACTGGGTAACAGCTTCATGCAATTACTGATATAATTGGGGTTTTTAAATTATTTTTACACTTAATTAGGCAGCTGTTTATGCTACCATATAGGTGAGGTTCTGTCCTTTCAATGGGGAAGTTTTGAAAGGTCTTTTGAAACATCAGAGTTCCCATTGCTGCTGAAAATAGGGTTTCCTGTGCTTTGAAAGGCACAGTCCAGGCTCTGTATCTAGGATTACAGGAATAAGGAGAAGGGATATGGAGTAATATTCATAGTCTTTGCTCAGTACATTTAATCATTTGCAACCAGAATTTAGCTCGAGCAGGATCTCTGTGTGAATTCACACCTCTTAGATTCTAGAAGTGCCGCATTGCAAAGTGTAGGCTTGACATATGCATTTAGTGCTATTTGAATAAATACCCATGAAGAATAAAATGGCTATAGAATGGGAAAGTGATATTTTCTGATTTGTAACACACGATAAAATGTTTTCAAAAGCTTTATTTAGGCAAAATATTTGTAATTAGGAAACATATGATTTTAAGTGCAACTAAACAGGAAGCTGTGTAGTTTTCCCTTATTTTCAGCCTCTGAAAGGAAATTTCAGCTGAATATCTTAACACTTATTGATGAATATTCTCATATTTATCATAGCTCACATCAACTGCCTGGAGAAATGTCACATCTATTTCCACCGACACATACTTCCTGTTTCATTTTCTTTTGCCACTAACCACGTTTAGTTTTAAAGTGCAGTAATCTCACTGTAAAATTGCAACCTATCTTCCTTCCACAATGCTAAAAGCCATAGATTTGTGATGAATCTGTGAGTCAGACTGAATGATGGACATCTGCTGTCCTCGTTTATCTGCCTAACAAATGGCTGAGCTCTTTGTTCTGTACAAGAGATATTGCTTTGTAAAATTTTCTAAAAGGCAATCTGTTCTATCTTTTTGAAAACTAATAGCATATATTTCTTATCTGAAAATACTTGTATCGATCCATATTAATAAGAGATATCAGACTTCCTCAATCTCTTGTTCTTTGCTGCATACTTTTGGAGATTTTCTGAAAAACTGCCTTGCTGCTGTTTAACACAATCTGGTACAGGAACTGAGGATTGATCTATGAGAAACAAGGATGTGCCTTCAGCAGAACTGAGCAGTCAATCCACAGAGTCATATATATAACAGTGGAATAATTTTTTATTAACAGCTTGTAATAAAACCATTTATCACCACTGTTGGTATTATTATCATACAGTAAACTAAGGTTCTTAAAATACCTAACCACACTGGAAAAATATTGAAGAATTTCATTGCTCTGAGTCTGTACCTGGTTATTTTAGTCAGTGATGTATGTTTGAAACTATGCCATGTACTGGTCACCTGGTAGCCCCAGGGCTCACAGCTCCTGAAAGCTGTGGGATAGTGAACCTTGGACAAAATCTGCTTTTGGGAGGAAAGGCCTACCTTGGCTTTCACCAGATTTCTGCATCATTCTCTCCACTCATCTTCATAAGTTTTAAAGATAAAAAGTAAGAAAAAGTGATTTGCCACGCTACTTGGTCATGATGTGTTTTGCCTACCAAAGAAGTTTTTCTACCCAAGGGATAAAGTTTCAAATGGTGAAAATAACATTAAACAAATAAAGCACAGTAAATAAACAATAAATAAATAAATAAATGACATTAAAAATATATAGTGTCAAAAACCCCCAAAACTTAAGCATCCTAGTGGGCCTTTTCCCAAGCCATGTCACGCTGTGAGTAAAACCTGGCTCGCACTGAATGGCTAAAGTCCCTTCTACTACATTGTTAGCAAGACCTCACTTCTGATACATACTCTCCCTTGAAGAATTATTTCCTTTTTCTGGGGCTGACACTCTTCTCAGAGATTAAAGTGGCAGCAGTGAATGGTCTTACCCACAGAAGTAACAACTACTGTGAAGTGAGCTTCATCTCGTTTTCCAGTCACGTTGTTGAAGGCACGGCAAATGTAATCTATTGTCTTCTGGGCCACTTTATCAGACACGACTTCCAGGTGGGGTCCATATTTGATTACGTGAGTGGTATTGTCAGCCCTTTGAATCCATGAGTAAGTGTTTGGTGGATTTGAATCTGCTGAGCAGTCAAACAGCATAACTTCCCCCATGTCAACTGTAACCACTGGCCCTATATTCAGACCTTTATCTGATTTAACTCTAAGTCCATAAGGTCCATCTGTATTGAGGAAAAAAAGAACACACAGTAGAAAAATTAAAAGTACATAATTAAAATTTAAATAGAAGCGTATCTCTAAACTTAGAATTTTTAGTTAGACTAGCCTTTAGAATTAAAAGGCTTTCAGTTCAATGGATTTACTAGGTTTATCTAGGTTTTTCTAGTTTTATCTCACACTATGCACACTTAATACCGATCTAATTACTGTTTAGGGAAAAAGCCTAGGTCTATGCATTGTTCAGTAGGACAAAAAGAACAAAAACTGAAACAGTTGGAAAAGCTGTGAAGTAAAGAAGCAGGTCTTCTTCAGAGGTATATTTGACCCTTCCTACTTAGATGACAAACTTATGCCAATAGATAATTTCTCTGAACATTTAAACGTGAACAAATTAGCCTTGAAATATATAAACATTGATTATAAAGCTTTGCAGTATAATAATTACTAGGGGAATTATCCTCCTGGTATAATACAAAAGAGGTGTGCCTTAGACAATATTAGAAAAAGTTTTCCATAAATGACTGCTAAAATAAACATTAACCTTACTCCACTTTGGTAGGCTTCTACTATTTTAACATTTATGTTTCTTTCAAGAGTAAGCCCTTGTGCTGAAAGAAAGCTGTGTTTCTGAATATAATTACAAAAAGCATATATTATCCAATAGTCATGTGTTCATTACACAGAAAATTGAGCAGCTAAGTATTTTTAGGGTAATCTTCATAGAAAAATGGGAAGGGAAGCAATATATTTAAATATGGTAAGAGTATTTCCCACGCTATTTTTAGTAGATCATTTCAGATCATGGGAGTTTCATATCTTTACATGTTAAAATCTATTTTCACAGGGTTCTAAGTATAGAAATTAATGTAAGGAATATAATTAAAATGTATCTTATTAGATTATTTCTTCTGGTCAAAAGAACTAATCATTTTAATATTGCTGATTCCATAATGCCTTATATGTATAATCAAAAAGGTACAGCCCAAATATTGACAGAAGTCAAAAGAAGAAAATACGCATCACATCTTTTTGTTAGGATCCATGAAGCTCAGTAAAGCTGTTTACAAGTACCTAACACAGCATGGCATAGTAAAAAGACAAATAGTCAATATTATAGGCATTGTAGACAGTGTAATCATGTTCCACCTTTCTATAGTTGTCTGGAAGCATTCAGGTAACATAGCTGGGTTTGAATGTGAAATTCCCTGCTACATGAAGCACACTTGAGACTCACATTTCTCATCAGGAAATTCAGGCTGATGTTAGACCTTCCTCTAACATGTACACTTCTATTTATTGTCTGTCTTTTTTTATGAGATGGATTTATTCTTCAAGAGCATATAGGCATGCAGCACAAAACAGGCCACTTTGTGTGTGCCTCTTTTTTTCTCTAGAGAATGTAGACTATCATACCATGACCTGTTTGCTCCACTTTTACCCAAATGTTCGTATTTCCCAGTGTAAACTTCTCAAACTTTTATTTTCCCTACTTTTTTCTTAGTGGTAAGCTTTTTGCAGTCACATTTAGGAAAGACACAGCACCATGCATAATACTTACTTGGGAAATGCAGTACAGATTCACTTCAGCATGAATTACTGCTGCACCTATCTACATCACAGGGGCCACTCTGAAGAATAAAAGCATTTTTTAAACTATAGATGCTGGGATGCTTCTTCATAAGTTCTGCAGTTCCCAAGTAATTTGCTTTTCTGTATCCAAGAGCCAGCTACCCCTGTAATGAGGATTTCTGGGAACTGCAGACCTATCACCACTAGGTTGGCTTGGCTTACTTTACTTGGACTGCACATTTCTGTGCCCTCCCAGAACACCACACTCACAGGGGTTTGCCAAGTATGTACAAGTATTTGCTTCCTTTTTTTTTTTTTTTCTTTTTCAGACGAGAAAAGTGAGAGAGGTACTGAACTTTGACTTTTTCATAAATGAAAGTAACCCCCTCATGCACTATTTATAGGAAGGAACACACTGTTTTACTTTCCAGGGCAATTCAGTGGTTCCTCCTAGCCAGTTCTTCTTTCTTAGAAGAATTAGCTTTTATTTTCACTGATAATATAAATTTTGATATATATAAAAGCAGAGATTAATGGTTAGAAATAGATGATTGGTCTCTGTGCCCTTTTACTATAGGGGGATGTTTGTTACAATCTGTGAAAGAATCAGAACTGAGTTCTGCTTTTTTATCATCACAGTGCGGCACAGACAGTTAACGCTAACAACGTAACTGCACTTTTGTACGAAAGCTGCCAATCAGAAGAAACCATTATAAAAATGCTGATGCACTGGCTGAGGAGGTATGCATGAAAAAACCAAAAGTTTTCTTAAAAAACAGTTAAATCTTGGCAAGGTCTGAACAGGGGCATTCACTGATGAAGTCAACACAAGCACTGGGTAGCCCTTTTGCCTTGCTTGCATCAGTGCTTTGCCTCTTCTGGGCATCGTGTAGGTCACTGAGATCCTTAAACACTCAGCTCCAAGAATGATTCTAAAAATTAACCATTTCCTTTCTAGGGCCAGGTAATTAAACATTTTCTCTCTAGAACTAAATAGGTTCTAGCTTTGGGAAGTCCCAAGGAAAGAAATCCCACTTAGTCTGCTAAAATAAACTCTGTCAGCACAGTACAACAGTTTCTGCTGCAGCCTCCATGACAGCAGCTTCTTCCAGTCTTGAAATAATTCATTTATGGGTCACACTACTGCAATTGCCATATTCTGGGGTGCATTGTCATCATAGCTAATGGAGAAGCAGAATAATATTAATGAGAAATTAAGAACAAAACACTTTTGGTTCTCAATGAAAAAAACACAGTGACAGCTTTCATGGATCCCTCAGTTCTACTCCTTTCCACTGTCATTCTCAAAAGAAACCTGCCTCTTTTCTCCATAAAGCCAGTTAGCTAAATGACTTGTAAAATAATAAATCATCTGTTCTGAGTAACAATTTACTGCTCTGTGGGAATATTTCCAATTGCTCCTATCACCACAAGACTGTTACAGTTTCCAAGCAGATGGCAGGTATTTACTGTGAGTCACCTTTTTTTATCACCTCCAGTTACTCCCCTGCAGCAATGACATATGGCACATAGAGATCCCGGGGCCTGTTCTGGATCGTTATTGACAGCTAGGAGCTGGGAGACGAACTACCTCTGCAGGCAGAGGTTGGATAGAATTATGTGACTCCATATAGCTCAGGAAGTAAGACCTCAACTCCCATCACTAACTTGGATATTGAAAGTACTGCAAGAATTGCAGGCTTTCAGCATTGCATTTTTTTCTCTTAATATTTTTTTCCAATCTTAAATTACGCACAAAGCAAATCCTTGGTTATGATTAAATAAAAAATACATTCCAAAAATGCAAAGACTTATTTCCACCTGCAGAAAGAAACTGAATCTCAAAGTTTTTGATATAAACAGATCTTTTGAGTGGTATATCACAATCACTAAAACAGCAAAAGCTTCCAGAAATATGGACACTGAAGTAACTTTGAGATTTTAAAGTTCTGCTAAACAATGGCTCAAAAATAGGTTTTCAGTTTAGAACTGGGAAAGATTTTTAAATTCCTGGACAGTACATGTAGTTGAGTGAGGGAGAAGGGAGGAAGTGGCACCAGAACTGAGACTGAGGGGCACACACTTTGTCAGTGCAAGTGGCCCAGACACTCATCAAAGCCACAAGTGCTCTGGAGCCAGTCCTGTGTGCAGCAGGTCAGAAATGTAAATGCCAAGGGGCTGTGCCACAAACGAAAAGAGCAGTCCAAAGGGGAGAAAAAGTGGCAGGCATTTTTCTAGACTGACCTAATTTTATTGCACAGTGAGAAGGCTGTTGGGTTATGGTGGATACAGATCGCCATGTTTTGAGTAGGTATTCTTTGAAGAGGGATCTGTATAAGGTCCATTCATAGCTCACTAAAGTGAGAAAAGCAGTAGAGGCAGTGCATTCATACACGTGCAGCTCTCATTCTTAGCACTTAACTGAGCTGAGATCACGACTGTACAAAAGCAGGCATTTAAAATAGGCTACCTTGGGGAAATAATATGATTTTTAAATTATTATTATGATAATCACAAGTTAAAACTCCATTAGTGCTTTTTTTTTCCTTGCAGAGCATTTAATCATGATTCCTCTCCTGTTTAAGACTCTTTGCAGCAGCTCCTTTATCTTCATGTCTGCATTGCTGTCAATTTTATAAGCTGCATCCAAGGGATCAGCTCCTGTTTAACAATGTCCTTGTTAGTCTGCTAATTTAGGCAGACTTTTCTCCTGGTCCAGTGTAGAGATAAACCCCCCATGCCTCCCTTTAGATGCAAGATACCCCCTTATCCAATTCTGCCAAGTTACAATTAAAATTAAAAAAGTAGCAGAATAGATAATTAGAGATGAAGGAAGGAGTAGGAAAATGTGACATAGTGAGAGTTTTAAGTTCTGAATGTGCTGCTAGTGAGATCATAGCAGGTCTAGGGCACGAGCTGTGCACTAACCGCCACATTATAGAGCCTGGCAAAACCAAGAGCAAGCACTAGCCCTTGGATGGACAGGAATCCAGTTCCAGTCCTTGTACTGTGCCAACCACACTGTGCCATGCAATAAACTGGTTATATCTGAACAGGACTGGTGACAAAGCAGATCCTGACCTGTCTGATTTCAGCTTTTGTCTGAAAAGAACACTTTGACCCCCTAGAACATGCAGATCAGAGCCTGACAAGGTCACATATGCAGCACATGCTACTTGCAAATCTTGGAGGCACTGGGACTTGACATTATAGGAAGGATAAGTAACAGAATGAGATCGCCCCTTCTAAGATTTAAAGTATAATTGTTGAATACTGACTAAATCAATCTTTTCTTTCCTCTAACTCATTTAATTAATGAACTCAATCTGTGCTCAGAGTTAGTTTCCATCTGCTTTCGTTCCCAGTCAAAATATATGGCTAGCTTATGGTCTGTTCTTCTGCTAATGATGGTCTTTACACAACTCTCCTTGCTCCCTCATGTTCCTATGTGATGTGGAAAGCAAAGATTCCTCTCACCTCTGATTTGGTAAAGCAGACTGGGGTCTATTCTCCATTCCTTTCTGATGTGTTTCTTTCCAGTTTGAGGTGATTGCTCTGGGATGTGCAGCAACTGCACGTAAAATTCTACATGTGGTCTCATCTTCTGTGTGCCATTAGTATTCCCCTTATTTCCTTGTTGGAAACACTTTATGAAAACACCCTAGAATTACATAGGTCTTTCTCATGCCTGGATAGTGCTTCCATTTCCCAGACATCTTGTGATAGCTCAATCATCAAGGTTCACCGCCTAGGCTTGCTGCCTCAGTTATTTCCCAACCAATCATCTCCCTCTTGTTAGCAGTTCATGGTTTTTATTCTTTAAAAGTGCATGCCCATTTATTTTTCACTAGCAAATTTCATACCAGTCCTATTGCTCTGTCAAAGTCATTCAGTCCTCTCAAGAGTAATTTCACAGGTGAACTTCAGTGGCATACTCCCCATCTTTATGCTGATGTCATTAATGGAAGTATTATACAGGACTGGATTCCAAATGATCTTGAGGAAAACTACTAATACCAGTACTGGTATTAGCACTGGCATTATCAGCCTGGTACTTTCTGTACTTAGATTTTTGAAACTGTTTGATGCCTCCATTTTTAACAATAGTTTAATGTATATCCATCTGATTATTTTTTTCCTTTCAGCCGCATCTCCTCCACAAGTTATCTGTATTGTGGAATTCTTGAAGTTCCTATCTGAATTCTGCAATTCAGACTCACCTTCACACCTATGTAACGCCAAGTAACTTTTTATTACACTGTTGTAAGTTAGAGCTGTTACAAACAAGGGTATTTTGAATGCAAGCTCATGTATAACATCGACTCAGCTGTTTTCTGCCTGTTCTTATAGTTAGAGGCACTCTTTACCACC